GTAATGAAACATACTTCGTTGTTCTATTAAAGGGCTTTAAATGGCAGTAAGCAAAATATGCAAAAGTTTTATCGTAATCAATACATTTAAGGCCAGTAAGAACTATGAAATTTGACACCATACCGTTCTAAAAATTATGCAAATTTTTTTTTAATATTAGATCTAATATAACATTGGCAAAAATGATAACAAATATAATTGACTTTTTTAAAATTTTTTAATAATTGTAATAAATTCCAAATCTTTAGTCGTCTAGTATAACAATAAAAAAATATCTCTCTGCAAATAGAAAATATTTTATGATGGTTCATAATATATTGATATTGAACTATAAGACAGCATGATGTCAGACTTGTACTTCTCTTTCGAATCTTTTGTAGTATATGTGTACTAGTGCTTGAATGGAAGACCGCAGAACATTTATTGTATCTATGTGCAGGCTTGTTCAGAACTAAATTTTAGTTTTTGGGCGCCCCATTTTTATAATTCACTCGGTGATATATTAAACAGTGATATCAAAGCGTTTGGTTGACTTCAGTGTGCTCAACCTCCTACCCACAATTACAGGTTATGTGGAATCTAAACGACTTTTTATCTAATTGACAAGTATTCAATCCTCATTTCACTTTACCTTCCTACCTATAGTACTTCCAATTTTAATAAATAATATATATATATATATATACTAGATAACCCAACAAACGTTGTTTTGCCTTATAAATTATTTCTAGTTTCTAGATAAATTCTAGTGTAGACAAAAAGTAACTTACTTATTATAAGTGTGTAAGTATGTGGTATATGCATGAAATAGGCATGGAGCGCTATGAACGAAAAGGAAAATAAAAATAACAAACGCCAAACAATATTATTTTTAAGTTATTATAGTTTATTTATTAAATTATTAATTTAAAATCAATAGATTTGTATGATACCAAGTTCTCTGGCAACAACTGTTGTATCTTCAAATTTAAATTGTCTTGGATTGACTGTAAATAATAATAATGATAATGGGCCAGTAACATTAACCAACAACAGTCGGAGATAAAAGCACTCAGTGTGTCTTGGATTAACTGTAAATAAGCGTTCGATTTAAATAAATTGAGACATGCATCAACTGCTGAAACTTGCTTGCGGGGCATCCATTTATTGTTTGAGCCCATGTGAAACAGCGTGGTACTTGTGAATAGAGTAATGTTCTTGCAAAGGCACCAAAATCATCCGTACTATTACACAATTCAAAAAATGCAGTGAGTGTAGATTTAGGTGGATTTGTACCACGATCAATCACTGTCTCGTTCGTGAAAAATACACGCTGACCGTTTTCAAGATGGACGACTAACTGAACAGCTGCTAGATCCCGTTCATGAATTAGAAAACCGAAGATACGCCAAGCAGCTTTATTGGTGCTGATGTACCGACCAATTTGGTAGAGCATAATTTCACCGTTTTTGTTCATTGAAGCATTTACATTAGTATTTTCTACTCTAAACACAGCTATATCACTGCCTTTATGGACGTACTTATATATTTGATGCTCTTCACAGAACTGCAAAACTCAACATTAATATGAGCATTGTATGTCTTGCTTAGCAGAGGCGAATACGGCACCACCCACCATTTTCCCCCATTATCGGGATTTCTTCGACGATATATTGGATATCCGTCGGTATTTGTTATAGTATCATTAGTGAAATCTTTAGAAAAATTTTTAGTACATTTTCCATCTACCATGCAAGGCGAAGACGAAGAAACGAAGTGGATGTAAATTTATGTCAAAAAAATAAAAATTTTTTGTTAAAGCAATAAGGATATGTTTGCTGAGTAGGGACTCCCTAATCACTTTAGCGGTATGAAAAATAGTTAGTAGCCGATTCTTAGACTTACTGAATATGCATATAAAATTTGGTAAAAATCGGTAAAGCCGTTTCGGAGGAGTACGGTAACTAACATTGTGACATGGAAATTTTATATATAAGACCGCAAACAGACATCGTTTGGCCTTATGACTTATTGATGGTCTTTGCAAATGCCAATCTAATAGAAAATTTAACGCGTTTGAATTAAATTGGTTTGTCTGTGAGAATCATTGGAATTCGTGGCAATAAAACTTTTTCGTTTCGGAACTTGCCATTCAAAATGGTGGCTTCGATAATGTTTTTCATCAATTTTTAAATTACCAATCGCGTACTATTGCATAGCAGTGGTGGGTTCAAATTCCGAAGTAAAATAATCGGTGATCCAACTTTCAGTCGTAAAATGTGTGGTGGCGTGCCTGGCAAATCCAGTGAGTTTAAAAACTCTGCTGGATAGTTTACAACTTCGTTGGTATCACAAACTGTATCGATCGATTTGTATGATATTAAGTCGCCTGGCAATGTCTGTTTTATCTTGAAGTTTAATTCATCAACGTCCACGTTTTTTTTGCTGCTAATGGCTCTTTCTGCCAGCCACCCATGATTTATGTATTGTATGTGTACATCTGGAAATACGCGGTCAATGAGAGCATTTTGGGAATCAACGATAGTGCAGAAATTAGGGGGCAGTTTTATGAATTCAGTATTTTCATAGACAACAACTTTTCATATCATAGCAAGTTTTCTTTCTCAAAAATATAAAAAAATTTATGTCAAAAAAATAAAAAAAATTTTGTTAAAGCAATAAAGATATTTTTGCTGGATAGGGACACCCTATTCACTTTAGCGGTATGAAAAATAGATAGTAGCCTATTCTCAGACCTACTGAATACGCATATAAAATTTGGTAAAAATCGGTAAAGTCGTTTCGGAGGAGTACGGTAACTAACATTTTGACAATGTTAATTTTATATATAATATATATATATGTTTTGGATAACGCTAAGTATACATCTTCAGTGATCTTTGAAAGAATCCGTATATAATTTTTAGACCACAAGTGTCAGGAGATTGAACCCTGTTAACTTTAAAACCCGTCTCTTAGCATAACAAGCTAAAGTATAATTAATTTTTAATACTTTAGTAATAGATACTTTGAATTATAAATTGTTCACTTTTCCGTTTAATGTATAATGCCCAAGCTGATCAACAAGTACTGACTTATTTTTAATTTATAAATATTCAAATCATACCTATACTCTAGCTGAAATTATTTTGGTTCATCTTAATCACTTAGCAAAAATATTACGTATATTAAAATCATATCATCCATGATTCGTCAGCAATATTAATCAGGAAGTTTTTTAATTGTTATATTAAATTAAACGAATATTTAAATTTTTCAGTCCCAAGGAAGTCATATAGTACTAAGATTTAATAAAATAAAACTATTATAATAGTAGATGAATCATACGTTCTATGATTAGTCAAGTTCGGAAAAATATAAAGTTAATAGTTCATACCTTGTACGCACAAGTTTCCAATATGGATGAATAAATTATCAGGCCAAAAAGTATATAGAATGATAACATATTAACTACACAAATCTAATATTCAAACTGAAATGACTTATTTAAGTCATATTTAATTCTGCTATTAAAACTAGAAAACAGCTCATGATACTTATTAATATTTAAATTATGCTTGTTATAAAGTGGAAAAATAAATACATAATAAGCCATAGATATAATAAATACATATAAATACATAATAAGCCATAGATATCATCAATTTTATTTCAATTAAAAAATAACAATGAAGTGATTAAATTGCCTAACGAAATTTGGTCTATAATATTAAATACCTTCAAAAAAGGGTTTGCGGATAGTAATGAATTACAACAAAATTTTATTTTTTATTAATCAATTTTTTTTGGCTGAGCATGCAACTGCTTCGTAAATGCGCATATCAGTTTCTGAAAATATTCGTTGATTTTAAAAGTCCGTATCAAAGTGTGGGATTACAACTACCAGGCTTAGAAGTTTGAACCGGTGAAATTAGAAGCAATGGCTTCCTTTCTTAACCAAACGACTCAAAAGTTAGGCTCGTTATAACCAAAAACTTATGCTAAGATATTCCTACTTGAGGGCTCCGGATCATTGTAGTGTCTTTCAATTGGTAGTGATCGCCATTATTTTGAAAATTTATTGAAAACTATTTTAACTATTTGTTGAAATTATTTTTAAAAAATATAAGCAAAAAATTTTGAAGACTTATGTAAAATGGTACATAATCACATGCTGTACTGTTGCATTTCAAAATTTTCCTAGTATTATTTACAAGGAAAACCGAAAAGCCTATTTTTAAATCATGGTTAACACAGTACTTGAAAAAGAGTTCGCCATTTTTATTAAGAATTCCTAATGTTAGCATAATCCAACTTTGATTGAATATTTTGACTGTTGAAATTTCTTATTGTGATAACTCTTATACATAAGAATATTTTACAACAGCTGTTTTCATATACTTAATTCTAAGGTGAACGTTTATAATTCTTTATCAAATTGATGTATTAAATACTTCCTGCGGTAACTTCTGATATACGTGGACTGTAGTCATTAGCATTAGGCATAAAAATGTTATTCTAATGTTATTATCTTAACTCACTGATCCCTAAAAATGCGACCTTCTCACAAAAACAAGTTCATTATTTTTAAGAACTGTCACTATGTTAACCTCCGTCTATTTTGATTATCTAGATTGATAGGGTTACTACCTTATTCTATTCAAATTGGTTTTCTTGACTTCCAAATGTATCTGATACCAAAATTACTATTACTTAGTGTTTTCTTCCAAATAATGCAAATCGTAAAAAATCGTTAAATACTATGTCTACAGACTATCACTTTATGTTACTTATTAACATAAACAGTCTATGTAAGTCCTCTAAGCCTCTTAAAATATATATTACTTTTAAACTCATAGGAAAAGAATTTCTTTATATTCTAGAAAACAGCTTTATGATTATTTTACTCAATAGAAATTTTAGGAGTAACCTATAATTTTATATATATAAAAATAGTGCAACAAAGTGAAAAGTATATGTAAATTTTTATTTATATATTTTTATTTTATAATTAATGTCAACTAATTTACGGTTACGAATATTTGCACGCCCGCACGAAGTACACAATAAGCTCCAACATCAAAATCAAACCGATATTGTCCTTCGGGAAATGTAGAAAGTGTTTTAAAATTTGACAGCGAAAGGTTTTCAACAAGCAAATCGGTCTAAAAGTATTATTTAAGAAATTCATTTTAAGAATTTAAAAATTGAAAAATTATTGTAAAAACTTAAAGCATTTCGTAAATACCATTCGTACTTTGTAAGGACAAGTGTGGTTAATATTCGTATTTTGCTTCCAGATATCGTAAAACCAATCAAAAATCAGATTCCTCCTACCTGTAAAATACCTACAAATATCTAACGTCACATTTATTACAAAAGATTTATAGCCATTGGCTTTCTTCCATACAGTAAATTGTGCCTAAAATTAATTTTTAATAGTTATAATAAAGTACAACTTATCCTAAGAAACTTACGTGCGCTTCGGTAACTGGGGTCTTCAAAAGTTTAACACGTAACGAAAGTGTCTTCGTTGTTCTATTCACTGGTTTCAAATAACAGTAAGCAAATACTGCAAAGCTTCTATCATATTCATTACATTTAATGCTATTAGCAACCAAAATATTTGACACCAAAACGCCCTAAAAATTTAATTTACATAACTATTTATTGTATAATTATAATTATATTAGCAAACTGAATATATTGTGTGATGAAAGAGTACAAATTATTAAACTCAAAACGTTTAAGCCCTGATATTTTACGTAAATCCTTAAATGATTATAATATTAACTATATGAATGATATAGAAACCAGAAGTTATTCAAAAGCTAATCACATAATTGACCTAACATAACCGTACTAATATACGGTTACTAATGCAAAGAGGTGAAAATCCCTATCCATGCTTAAATATCTCAAGCTCTGGTGAAAATAGAAGAACTCAAAAGAGTAAACTAAATTTAATTAGAGAGCAAAGAGTAATTTTTTGAGCACTGCAAAAGGCCATCTCAATCCAACAGTTTGACTTATATAGATGACATGCAATATTTATTCAACTCTACTGCGCTTTATAGGACATAGAGCCAATTTAAAGATGACTCTTTACAAATAACAAGAGCATAAAAAGAGAATATAACTAAAGAAGATATAGGACACTCAATACTTGACGATAGTTTGTTTTTTAATTTGGAGCCAAGAATATATCATTAGAAGACTGAAAAATTTAAACATGTTAGTGCGAATAATAAACTATTTTAGGAACTATTATTAGTCCCTAGTCGGAAGTGTCATCATCTATAAGATGAAAAATATATGATAAAGAGACTAAAACATTTTTGAGACTATTATTAATTAAAATAGATTATTCGATTTTTCGTAATATATCGAACTAAGGATGGAAGTATCATCATCCACAATACCAGGCATGTATCTCAAAATAAAAACGAGATAGAGGTTGTAAAATAAACGTCTAGTTTATTAAATATAGGCAGATATATATATATATATATATATATATATATTACATATATTACATATATATTATATAATATATATTATATATAATTTGTTATGTATAGAATTCATAAAACTCACAGATTCAGAAGAAATCTTTCCATCCAATGATCCAGTAATGCCAAATATAATAATGAATATAAAGCTATTCACTTCTTTATTGATTCGTTCTTGAGAGTGGTGACTAACCACTTAACCTTTATTATCATCATTATTGACTTGATAATGTGTTAATTTAGAGAATCCAAACTTTTTTATCATATATTCCATGACTAAAAGATTGGAATTAATTGGTACAAACCACCATGTTTAAACAGATCTGTATACTATAATGTTTTAAAATAATTTTTATATCTCTGGAACACACACATAAGGTGTATCAATATACATATAAATATTATAAATCTGATATTCACCAATATTTAAAAAAAAACATGTATGGAATATCAGGATTAGAATCTATGTTTTTAAGTTAAAATGACGACTATAACATAATATAGCGAGTATAATATACTTTACTGTGGCATCAAACTTCGCAGTATTGAATTGAAGTTCTTCAACTGGTTATTATAGCCTAACTTTTCGTTATTTAAACTCATTTATACAATAGTAACTCAATACAGGGTTAATAGTTGACTAGAAAGATTATTTTAAAGATAATCATGGCGCATATATGAATTTCTCGAACGTATTAAATAGCATAAGGACTTTTAGTTATGTATATTCAAGGATTACTTATTTTTATCTTATTACTGCTATATATTTCCAACTTTAAAATCTTCTTCATCTGTATTATTCTGCCGCTTCTGAAATTATTTGTATTATTTATTTCAAATTCAATGTCTAAATATTGTGTATGGGTCATTCTTTTACTGATCGAACACCCTTTTGATCTCATCATCTCCGATTTGACTGAAATTTTTTTCATGACTTCATTTTTAAATAAATAAGAAAACCATACCTTAGAGAAATGAACCCATGGGGTTTCGACAGTTAACATTGGAGACACATTCTTAAAGCGTCATATCTCAGGCTTTAAAAATGATATAAACTTGAAATTTATTGCGTTTTAAAGATAATTGATTGAACTTTTAGGAAGTAAACAATTAAGATTTTTATATTAATGTATTAATATTAATAATAAAATTTCCAAAAAAAGATTTTCTCTAAATGTGTTCCAGAAATTTGATTTCTTTAAATTTTATTAAGATTCAATATTAAATTTTTCTAAGAAATCAGACACCTTACACCGCACTCATACATACCATAATACCGTTAAATAAATTTTCAACAAAAATTGACACAATAATTTTTATTTTTTATTTTTGAATTGAATTAAATTTTCATCATTAGATTATATATATCCATAAGGTTGACTTGGTGTCTTAAAATATTGCAAAAAACTAGAAAAAGTATACAAACAATAAGTAAATCATAAGATAAATTTAAATAAGAAGATTTTATTTCCAGTAATATGATATCTTTCGTTACCAATAATAAATTTATATTAACTGATAGTGAGAAATAATTGCACACCCGCACGAAATATGCCATAAGCCCCAACATCCAAATCAAATCGGTAAAGTCCTTCCGGAAATGCAGAGGGGGTTATAAAGTTAGAAAGTGGAAGTTTATCAACAGTCATGTCACTCTAAAATGTGTGATAATTATTTTAAAAATTCAATCTATTTCTATAGATATACTAGTTTTACCGTATAAGGACATGTGTGATTTATATTTGAATATTGTTTCCACATATCGTAAAACCAATTAAAAAACAAATTTTTTCTACCGGCAAAATACTCACAAATGTCGAGTGTCACATTTATAACAAAAGGCTTATACCCATTGGCTTTCTTCCATACAGTAAACTGTACCTGAAATAAACTTTTTGTTGAGATAAAGGAATTGAATATATATCAAACTATTAACTAACATGTGATTTGGTAACTGGTGGCTTCAGAAGTTTTATGTTTATAGAAAAATACTTTGTTGTTCTGTTTATAGGCTTCAAATAGCATTTAGTAAAGATTACAAAGGTTTTGTCGTATTCATTACATTTAACGCTCTGGACAGTGATGGTATTTGACACTGGTACTACCTAAAAAAATTAAATTCTTAATCAATTACATTTATTTGGAATAAAGATAAAATACTAAATAAATAAAATAACAAAATAAAAAACGTGGAATATTAATGCATTACAACAAAAATTAATTTTTTTAATTAATATAGCAAGTTAATTTGTCGATTTGCACAAACTACGTTGTGTTTTATATCTAAACATAACTTTAATCTTCAAGTTAAGAGTGGTAGAAGCTCAATCTAGGCTTGCAGTCTAAAAATTATAAGCAAGCATCTAGTAAAAATTTCAAAATATTTTTAAAATATTATAATTAAAAAATTTAATTATTGAAAACGGAAAGTAAATAAACTTTCACAGTAAATTAAACTAGATATTCATACCTTGTCAGCACGAATTTCCAAACAGACGGAATAAACTATCAAGCAGATTATTACATAGAAAGATAGCATATTGACTGCACAAATCTAATATGCAAACTGATTTGTTTTCATTAAAAGCAATTTTAATTTTCAATTGCAATGTGAGCTAGAGATACTTATCAATACTTAAGTGGTACTATTTATTTACAAAGTGAAGAATTAAATACATAATGCGAGAATGATGATGATGACATCCATTAAATTTCAATTAATTCACATAATATCAATATTGTGTTTAAAAACCGTAACGAACTTCAGTTTCGCGTATGAAAAACAATCCCTCCCTCAAATTTGTTCAATTTCTGATTCTTTCAGATATTATGTTCTCTTAAACTTTATCCCTAAAGTTGAATTATATTCTTTTTGTATTGTTGCGTGTTTGTACTTGAAATGTTCTTAATCTATTCGATTTTTTATTACTTCCCAAGCACCATTCCTTCAAATAAATCAGTATATGTTTTTAAAAAATATTACTTACTTTAGCAGTTTCATCAAATTTTTCATTGTGGCTCTATACATTCTTCTTGGAACAACTAAAGCAAACGCTGCTTCAACTGATTTTTAAACCGAACCAATGGTTCAGAAGATCAAATCATTAAATCAACACATTTCAAAAATGTATGCCGCATAGGGCCGCAACGATTATTTTCTTCTTCTCTTAAACTGCACTCTGTTAGAGGCTACTCTGCATATATCCTTTCATACGTAGTGCGCTTCTGTTATCTCTTATCTCTCTTTCAATTATCCTTCCACAAATTAAAGCCGATTCACTAGGGCGTCTGCAACCTTGTTGGTTCCACGTCAAATGTTGTGGTGGAATGTATTTATTTGGTAGTCGAAATGTCTAATTTCGCCTAAACTGGATTTAAGCTACTATTATTTTTTTTATGATAGTTCAGCAATATTATTGTAAGTGTTAGTATCAATTATTAACCCACGCTAGTGGCTTCCGCTGTCTACAGTTTGCATGCCATGTGACCAATGTAACACATATCCATGATTAAACAAATATCCCTGTTTTTATCGTTGAAACTTTTTCCACTCCATAAAAAGATTTTGGAACTCTGTTGGAATACTATATGCAGTTAAGTCCAAAAAAATTCTTCACAGAATGTAGGTATGTACAAAGAAACTCCGTCATAATTATTGTTTGTATTAAAATAATATAAAAGTAACAGATTCCAGAAATATATTACTAAAGTTATTCAAAATAAAAGAAATATATGTTAAATATTTTCATATGTTTATATATAACTATATATATATTATAATATAAATAATAGAATTCCTCTTTTTTGCTTCATTGTTTTATTTATTAATTTTTTTTTTTTTGCCACCATATATTTTAAAAGATAGTCTTTTTCAAACTACATATTTAATGATATAAACCAATATACAGCTGCACGTCGTACATTATAAGCACTGACTTCAAAATCCAGACGATAATCACCATTGGGAAATAAAGACGGAGCTTTTAAGTCGTTAACAGGCATATTCTCAACAATTATCTCAGACTGGAAAATGAAAAATATTTTGTTTGGAAAAATTCAATATATAGATCCTCTAAATAAATAACATCAGAATACATAATTATAGCTTACAACATAAGGGCATGTGTGATTTAGATTGGAATGGGGTCGAATCAGTTGAAAAAACCAGTCGAATGCAATATAGTTCTTTCCAGAGAGATATTTACACGCATCAATTGTTACAGCTATAACAAAAGGTTTATAACCATTAGCTTTTTTCCACATAGCAAAATGAACCTATTTTAAAGTAATCAGATAAATGATTGCTTGCATATAATATATATATATTTTATTTATATAAAATGATAGAATATCAACTTACCGATACATTTGTGACTGGGGGCTTGAAAAGTGATACACGAGTCGAAAATAGTTTTAAAGTTCGATTTACTGGTTTCAATCTGCAGCGTGTAAATTTGGCAAAATCTATATCATAATCGATACACTTAATGCTTTTAATGGTCATTCTATTTGTTAGCAACTCCTTTCACGACAATTAAAAACATATTAAGCCAGTGAAATAAAATTGGCACATAAAGTATCTGAAAAGTACATACCATTTGCATGGAGGTTGAAACCATGAATAAAACACATACGCAAATATAATGCGGTCGGATATAAGCGAGTTTTAACTTTACTGACATTTTATAAGCAACTAAATCTGCAAAGTTTTAAAAAAATTTTATTACAATATTTAATTTTATCATAAAATAATTTTTTGCAATTATTTTAAATTGCTAACACATATTGACACATCTAATAACACATATTTATGCCTTAAAAAAAATCATTTGAATACTATAGAATAAATAATGGAGTACGCTGTTATTGCAGGGGAAAAGACTTTTACTAAATGTAGCATGCAAATTTGGAAATATTTAAGTATTTAAAATCAAAAAGGAATTAATACAAAAAAATATTAAAAATATTAGTATTAGATTTTATCAAATTCACTTCATTAGTATAGTTATGCTACTTGTCAATTATCATTCATAATATTGACTTATACTTCTTCAACTGTACTCTTATGTATAAGTTGATTTTTTGGCATTCAATTCAATAGCAAGTTTCCGATTTAAAACTATATTTCCTTTCTCGATAATTATGCCATATGGATATTACATGACGTAGGCAATCAATTCCAATTCCTCTTTAACTTGATCTATCTTTATGCAAAAACATCTATATATAAGTCACATCACAATATCTGAAAAACTTTAAGACTTGATAACTGTTCAAAGAAAAGAACTCATACTTTAGTGTAAACTAAAATAACACTAAAGTATAATAAACAATAATTATAACACTAATAATCATCAATACATAAGCGCTGAGATGCCAGTCATGCAAAATATATGATTTCTACAAAGTGACAACATTCAAGAGAAAACGTGGCAAAATTTTATAACATTTAAACTAAGTTATAAATAACGACATGATATTACTCTTGATATATACAAAATAATATTAAGAGAATCATATCGTTTATCCTTTAAACCCAGATTTTTAAAGCAAAATATATGATAAATACCAGGCATCTATCTCAAAATGAAAACGAGACAGAGGTTGTTGGATTATGATCTGTTGAGCAAGAATTTTGCTCATATTTTAACTCTTGTCCCCTCTCTACATTTCTCTCTATTTCCTTTGTTTTCTCTCTTTTTTTCTATCTATCGTTCTCTCCGACTAATCTTCTTATATTCATTAAAGAATCATTAAAGAATAAAGAATAAAGCGCTTCCGATTGGAAAATCTGGATTCAAACAAGATTTACTCTGGATCTATTAAATTTAATTGCCCATAACGAATATTTTTAGATTAATCTAACATATTTATAGTAGTCTTAGTAGATATTAATATTTTTCATTTATATTTTTTTTTTTTTTATATATTTGATTTGATTCGACATACATCGAATACATCGACTTAATATTTTCTTATCAATTGCTACATTTGAAGTCAAAAATCTTCATAAAATGACCAAACATGACGTTACGATAGATGCTTTGCATTTACATAACCCAGTGTCAGAAGTCATTGGTTATAGACAAGTCGAGTTGCATAAATTACACTTCGAGCTGCCTCTTACCCAGAATCCTTAGCAGATTTTATCAAAAGTAAAGTAATAGCTTCTCGCAAATCTCTAAACTTTGGTTCAAGATAATTTAATTTGATAATTTGAAGACTTTACTTTAACAATACTCGTAGCAGTAGTGTCCGAAATACGGTAAATAGACATGCAAGAAAGCATTGAAATGTTAGCCAAGTATTAAAATGATTACTACTGATTACTGTCTCTGACTACTGACAGATCTTTAAATTAAACTTACTATATTGAATAAAATATTATTATATATATTATTAAATAATAGGCTATGAATGCACTCCGACTTTATTGTGCGTCTAAAGGCTAAACTAAAACAATTCTAAACTATTTATAAATCTTGTAATTGCTGTGGGTTTAATTTTATCTATTTGATTTGGGACTAAGATCCCGCTTCCAAGGTAGTCGAATCTACTTCTTGCCGCCGCTGGACAGTTGCATAGAATACGTTCTGATGTTTCTTTCCTCTCATGACAGAGTCGACAGGAATCACTTTGTATGAATAAAATATATTCCTTTAGTAATTCGCTTCGGAACTCATGGAATAGTATGACAAGGAAATAAATTATTACTTTATATTCTTACTTTCCAGACGGCTTACCCAATATCTGTCTTTGAAATTCATGTTGAATTTGAATAACATTAAAAGGAAATAAAATTAATGTGTATATAAATAAAAGAATAAAAAATTCTATAAAGCCACTTCCAAAAAAGTATATTTAATAATCATACACATATATAAAATATAATAAACATTCAATCAATTATATATTTTTATTATCAGATTACTGACTTTAATCATGCATGGTAATATTGAATTGATAATAATCAGTAATTAAGTGATATCATGTTTAAACAGAATAAAGACAAAAATAAACGTCTTTATATATATATATATATATATATATATAATATAAAAATATATATATATAATATATATATATATGTAATTTTCTTAAACAAAAAAACAGCAGAAGTATCATTTTGTTATGTACATTGTGACCGAAAAGCTTTCGGAAATTCTCATTTAAAATTCGCGCGCTGTATATTTTCCGATATTTTAAGTTTATGTAGTTTGGCAGCACTGTCCTTAATTACTATGCCAAAAATGAGCGCGATCTGTCAGACAGTTCGTTTACGGCAGCTGTTGAAACCAGTTCACCTCAGTAGGGCGTTGCGAAAAAAACAATGGAAAAAAATATTGAACAAAGAGTTTGCATCAAATTTTGTGTTTCGAACGAAATTTCGTGTGCAGAATCGTTGCGAATGCTACAAAAGGCTTATGGGGAATCAGTTTTATCGAAAACTCAAGTTTATGAGTGGTACAAAGCCTTCCAGGACGGTCGTACGACCGTCGAAGACATTTCGCAACGCACTACTGAGGTGAACTGGTTTCAACAGCTGCCGTAAACGAACTGTCTGACAGATCGAGCTCATTTTTGGCATAGTAATTAAGGACAGTGCTGCCAAACTACATAAACTTAAAATATCGAAAAATATACAGCGCGCGAATTTTAAATGAGAATTTCCGAAAACTTTTCAGTCTTAATGTATAGTATTCATAAAACTCACAGATTCAGAAGAAATCTTTCCATCCAATGATCCAGTAATGACATATATCTGATTTTATTAATTTAATTTTAAGAATTGAACTTTTTTATCATATATTTCAAGACTAAAAGATTGGAATTAATTGGTTCATGTTTAAACAGACCTGTATACTATAATGTTTTAAAATAATTTTTATATTTCTATAACACACACATAAGGTGTATCAATATACATATAAATATTATAATTATGATATTCACCAATATTTAAAAAAAACATGTATGGAATATCAGGATTAGAATCTATTTTTTTAAGTTAAAATGACGACAATTATATAGCGAGTATAATATACTTTACTTGTGACATCTAACTTCGCAGTATTGAATTGAAGTTCTTCAACTGGTTATTATAGCTTCACTTTTCGTTATTCAAACTCATTAATACAATAGTAACTCAATACAGGGTTAATAGTTGACTAGAAAGATTATTTTAAAGATAATCATGGCGCATATACGAATTTCTCGAACGTATTAAATAGCATAAGGACTTTTAGTTATGTATATTCAAGGATTACTAATTTTTATCTTATTACTGCTACATATTTACAACTTAAAAATCTTTTTCATCTGTATTATTCTGTCGCTCCTGAAATTATCTGTATTATTTATTTCAAATCCAATCTCAAAATATTGTGTATAGGTCATTCTTTTACTGATCGAACACCCTTTTGATCTCATCATCTCCGATTTGACTAAAATTTTTTTCGTGACTTCATTTGATAAAATAAGTACACCATACCTTAGAGAAATGAACCCATGGTGTTTTGACAGTTAGCATTGGAGACACATTCTTAAAGCGTCATATCTCAGGCTTTAAAAATGATATAAACTTGAAATTTATAAAAAAAACTTTTCTCTAAATGGATTCCAAAAATTTGATTTCTTTAAATTTTATTAAGACTCAATATTAAATTTTTCTAAGAAATCAGACACCTTACGCCGCACTCATACATACCATAATACCGTTAAATAAATTTTCAACAAAAATTGACACAATAATTTTTATTTTTTATTTTTGAATTGAATTAAATTTTCATCATTAGATTATATATATTCATAAGGTTGACTTGATGTCTTAAAATATTGCAAAAAAACTAGAAAAATTATACAAACAATAAGTAAATCAGGTAATATTTTAAATAAGAAGATAATATAATATGATAATACGGTAATATGATATCTTTGGTTACCAATAATAAATTTATATTAACTGACAGTGAGAAATACTTGCACACCCGCACGAAATATGC